ATTTGAAAGCATGCAAATGCAAGTATATAAATAGGTACCACTTTGATGGGAAGGAAACAGTACTCAGTGATGACATGACCAAATATCTTTTGACAATACTCGCTCAATGACCTTGTAATGGAAATGAGCACAGCCGCCCATTTGGCCATGACTCACTTTTTTTCCTAATTTCTTTAGATTATTTGTACAGTATTTCTTTTAAACGTATCTCACTGTTATAAGTTGGAAGTGCTGTTGGTTTTTCTTCAGTAATTATTACTCTGTAACTTCATTGCTTGTTTTACTAATTTGAAAAAAGGCATTCCCCCACATTTTCTCCGGAACAGTAGGGTAGGGGAATGAGCTCAAAGCTACAGGAGAATCACTTATGTATTTCTGTTTATCACTATATTTGATATGGTGAAATATTTACAAAATAGATTCATTAAAATTTCATCCTGGAGAAAAATCTATATAGATAAGAGTTGACACTGACTTGATGACAGTGTCCCCACTTCCTGTGGGAGTGCAAGGCCAGGTATGGGCAGCTGGCTGCCTTCTCACATTCCGGCTGACTTTTAGTACAGTAAAGTAGGAGTTTCTTTGAGTAACGTTTTTAGTACAGTAAGTAGGAGTGTCTTTGAGTAACGTTTTAGTATTATAGCTGGGAGTGTTTCTCTGAGTAATTTTTTTTAGTACAGTAAGTAGGTGTGTCTTTGAGTAATGTTTTAGTACTGTAGCTAGGAGTGTTTCTCTGAATATTTTTTTTTTAGTACTGTAGCTAAGAACAGGAAAACTAGGAAAGGTGTGTTAAGGTGTAGAATGGAAGTGTAGGTGGCGCGGCAGCAATTCGAGAGGCCACTCCGGATCCAAAGCGGTGCTATTTTTATGTTGTATCCCCTCCCACAAAACTTATGGATGTCAGAGCAACTGGCATTTACGTGTACCTTCGGCGGACCCTATGGAAATACAGAAATAACTCCAACACCATTAATGATTGGTGGGAGAAGCTGCGCAACCTTGGCTTGCTCGGAGATCCAGGCCCTCAGACCCCGGCATCACCAGAAGCCAACAGATGGAGAAGGGGGCATTGGAAGTGTTGTGAGAGAAAGCGGAAGTGCGGAAAGTGAGCAGGGGTTAATGCTAGGCTAAAGGCAAACCCTAACCGGCCTGCTCTACCATCCATCCTGCTAGCAAATGTCTGCTCCCTGGACAATAAATTAGATTACATCAGACTCCAGCAAGCTGGAGCATGAGTACAGCCACTGCTGCATCTTTGTTTTCACGAAACATGGCTGAGTGATAGAGTTCCGGATGCTGCTATTCAGCTGGACAGATTAACTGCGTTTCGTGCCGACACAAATGCAGCTCTGTGCAGTAAGACTGGTGGTGGCGGACTGTGTATATACATCAACACAGAATGGTGTAAAAACTCTGTCCTCATTTCCACCTACTGCTCACCGCTTGTGAGATGTAGACTTTTTTATTTATCCAGGGAATTCACCACTGCTACGTATATTCCACCTAGCGCTAATGCTAAGGAAGTGCTCTGTATACTTCACCGGACCATCAACGAACTGCAGAACACACATCCTGATGGATTTTTTACTGTTGCCGGAGATTTCAATCATGCAAATCTAAGGACTGTGCTCCCTAAATTATATCAAAATGTGGATTTTGCAACCAGAGGGGAAAACACATTGGATGTTGTTTATACAAACATCCCAGGTGCATATTGGGTGAAGTCCTGCCCCCACCTTGGCTACTTAGACCACATCTCTGTTATGTTAATTCCAACATACAGACCACTCATCAGGCGTTCAAGACCAGTTCGGAAGCAGGTGAGGACCTGGCCAGCAGGAGCCATCTCTGCTCTTCAGGACTGCTTTGAATGCACTGACTGGGACATGNTTTATTTTGTTTATTTGTTTATTTGTTTATTTGTTTATTTGTTTATTTGTTTATTTGTTTATTTGTTTATTTGTTTATTTATTTTATTTATTTTATTTATTTTATTTATTTTATTTATTTTATTTATTTTATTTATTTTATTTATTTTATTTATTTACTTATTTATTTATTTATTTTATTTATATTTCATTTATTTCATTTATTTTATTTGTCGAACATGTACTAGATAACAGGTATACGTATAAACATGGACATGGATAAGGAATGAGTACAAGTAAATGGGGATAATAGGACAGGGAGGGTAGGCACGCTGGTGCGGTTATGCACGCCCTCTTTCACGGACCTTTTAGGAATGGGGTGAGGTCCACGGTCGAGAGTTTAAGGTTTAAGAATTGCCCCATCTAATTGTTTTTTGATGTTAAAAATGCTTCAGGGCTTCACAAAACCCAAGAGACATTTTTAGAAAACTAAAATGGTAAGAGACTGAAAAAAGTCAGAAGTAAGCTGTGCATCAGACAGATCCTTCCACGTTAAAGGGAATATTTATTTATTTACATTTATTATAGTTGGCCACGCTAGAAGACTTGGAGCTAGGTTATCTTCTGATGAAAAGGACTTTTGTGGTTTGCCAGGTTAACCACATTTTGTTGTAATGATGCACATAACTATTTCTCAAAACCCTAAATTTGACAACTGGCCCCAAAAGTTTCAGAACATCTATAGTAAATTATGGTTGGTCACAGAGTTCTGGTATAGCTGCACAGTTGACAATCAGACTGCTCTTAAGGGTTCAAATGAATTGTCATGAAAACACAATGTAGTGCTTTCAATATGCTTGGATCCCTTGGAGTCCTGAATGAAGTAATTAAATATGATTCAGTTTCAGTGAGAAAACCGAAATAATTTATTGCAGTTTGGAGACAAGCTGGGAGCTGAGGGTCTGTAGAAGCCTTGTTAGCTTGGGGCCCTGGGGCTCACCAGAACAGTTGGCCATGTTTAAGGAAGGCTCCAACCTGAGCTTAAAATGGCAATAAATATTGAACTCCTGTCATTGACCCCCTCCCCAAAATGGACAATGTTCTGGAGAATCTCCGAATCTCTTTGGTTTCCTTGCTCTCATATAAATAGCTGATTAGCATCCCATTAAGCATCTGACCTCTAGCAAATTGGTCACCACTTGGGTGTCCACAGCAGGATCATAAAATGCTGCTATCCCTCCTGCAGACAAATCAATATTTATTACTAAACAACTTGCATGGGCCCTACAGAGGTCCATGGAGGGTCAGTGTTGCAACTGCCTATGTTGGCCATTCATTAACAGCCTCAGAAAAGGAACAGCATGTTCTAAAATGTTCTATTTTTAAAGGAGTCCTTCACATGTTTAAATAGGATGAAATAATATAAATTAAACTGGGATTTGTCTGAATAGATATACATGTGTATTAAAATTGCCTGAGGGTGATATATTTTATCTCTTTCTTAACTTTGAATCAATCTTGACTACTGGCAAGAAGATGGACTGTCCTTGCAGGATTTTTTGGTAACATTTCGGAAGCAGCTTGGCATTGCTTTCTTCTAAGGATCGAGAGAAAATGACCGGCTCATAGTCCCCTGCGTAAGGCAAGACTAGAACTCCCTCTTTCCTAGTTTCTAGCTTGTTGCCTTAACCACAACTGCCTTAAACTGGCTCTCATCTTCACTGTAAACCCAACCATTCCAAACCAGCAAATGTTCTTGTAATTGTACAATGACAGTGAAGGAGCTACAGTTTAACATATCTGGGGAGAACCAGGATGGGGAAAGATGAGGGACAGAATCACATTTAGGCATATCTTAATTTTCTGTAATAAACTCTCAGGATAGAATCAAAATAATGCTAAGCATGAAAATAACCAAAAACTACAATGAAGGTAATGACAATATTCCAGCAAAAGGTTAAAAATGTATTCAAATAAAATGCCAAACATGTAGGGGAGGGGAGTTGTACGTCCTATCTAATGAATAGGAATTTGTAGAAAGGTCTAAACAAGGATATTCATTGGCTATATGCAACCTGATTTTTGATTGGGCAAGCTCATGAAGGATTAGACCAGAGATGGGGAACTACAGGGCGGGGCATAACCTTTTCCTAGGGGGTCACAGCAAGATCGACAGCAGTTTAC